CATGTCTGCAGGATTTGAGCCAAGCTGGTAAAAAAAGATGGAGAGTGCGCTGTGCATGCTCAGCTCTTCATGCGACATGTGTGTGTAGTTATTGTTCCTCTCTGCGCGTGACACGTTTAGGATCCCGCTTGGCGGCTTTCGCAGACTTCACGCTGCACGCACGTTGCCACAGCGCATATTTCACGCGATTCGCACCCAACCCGGCCCACCCCCCACGTGCGAACGTTGTCATCATGGAGTGGATGCTGTGGTCATCGGACTGATTAAACGACGAACGCTATTCTGGTTTGGGCGTGGATGCTCTAGTCATCGCATTCGCAAAAACCGAACCGAACGTATCCGACCGTGATTATGCTTGGGGATGCTTGGGGCATGGTCGAATGGTCTGGTTATCGCCCTCTTTAAAGACGAAAATTATTACGGTTTGGGAGGATGCTCTGGTCATCGAACTTGTTAAAGACCTAAGGCCGGATGGTACTACGGCTCCACATGGATCATTGTGGCAGCTCAATTCAAACAGCCAAAATGACTCAAAATCCGCAACATAGACTTGAAGAAAAACCGCTGAATCTGGAGGTGTTTGTGCGCAGCTGACAATTCAGGCGCTCATTGCCATTCATCGCCAAAGTCCTACAAAATCCAAGAAGGACACGCAGGGAAACGCAGCGCAATTGCATCCAGGCCGTTGGATAGGAAGACGCGTCGGCAAGCCGAACATGCTCCAAACATCACCCATCCTTAATATTGGCTTGGGAGGGGGGGGGATTTTCAAAGCCATTTTTGGGACATCTATGGGGTACATGTTAAGGGGGTCCGAAAAATGGCTTGGTAGACGTGAGAGGTCCTCCAAGCCATTTTAATTGGAAATCTCTAGGATACATGTTGAGGGATTCAATGGCTTAGCAGGGGGTGGGGACGTTAAATGGCTTGGGTTCTTGGCGTTTTTTTGGTAAGGTGTCCAAGTAGAGGTCTTAGGAAGACAGGGGGGCACGTCGAAAATGGCTCCAGCCATTTTCACGTTCCCCCCCCCTTTAAAGCATGGGCGATCTCCAAACAAAAATTATGTTGAATCGACCAAAAAATGGAAAACAAAGCAAACCGAAGTCGTAAGATGAAAAAATATCTAATATCATACTGTGGATGGAGGAAATCTTGCACCGCTTTTACAACGTAGATTTCTTACAGCCCCGTACCCCCTTTTTAACATTGGCGTTGAAAGC